GGGGTGAGGGGAGCGCGGTGAGGGACCCGTGGAGCCCCGGTCCCCCCGGCCGTCAGCACCTCCGAGAGCTCCGCGGCCGCGGGGCCGCCGCCGCCGGCGCAAACTCCTCCCGGCGCCCGGGAGCGTCTTCTGCTAACACCTCCCTCCGGATAAACATCCACCGATCTCGCGGTTCACAAACCCGGCAAGCATCCTCTTCCAGAAATATTCAGAAAGTTTCCCGGTTGAATGCGACGTTGTGCTTTTTTTTTTTTTTTTTTTTTTCCTTTTAATAAATCTCCTCCTTTCTCATCTTATTCAACCTCTTTTCAGTCAGAAGCATAACATGTCCACTAGCGTCTCGCAGCCGGCGAGGGAGCGAGCGAGCAAAGATGGACCTAGGAGCATGATGATCATCATAAAAATCCCCTCGGTTCTCCAGTGCAATTTTCAAAACAACAACCCAGCCTTCGTGCTGTAAAGGCGAAACGCCTGCGTCTGTTTACATCAACTGTGTGCTCCGAAAGCCTTTCCCCTCTGTCTCAATCCAAGGGAGGGGAGGGGAGGGAAAAAAAAAAAAAAAAAAAAAAAAAAAAAAAAAAAAAAAAAAAAAAAAAAAAAAAAAGAAGAAAAAAAAAAAGAAAAAGAAAAAAAAGCCAGCATTATCTGCCTTTGTCAGCGAAAGAACATAATATTGACTTACCTTTCCCCACAGCTATTGTCTGCCCCTTTACAAAATGACATCACGGAAACCAATCATGAAATTTGCATGGGGGAGGTTGTGGGGGGAGAGTTCTTGGAGGGCAGCCCACTTCCCTACACCAGTAACACGCGTGTAAGACGGGTTGTTGGTTTCAATTAAATATCTGATACTCCTTAGTGTGTGAACTCTTAAGCCTGCTAAAGGCAATGTCTCATTTACTTAATGACCGCTCTCATTAATGGAAATGGCACAGAGGGGGCTTGCTGCGCCTTCCCTTTGTAAATACACTACCCATGAACCCTTGGGGTTGCAATATATCTGTTTACTCTCTGAGGTGAAATAAATTTACAGTATAGCATCAAAGAGAGCGAGCGAGAGAGATGGAGCGGCTGCCTTGAGTGCACCGAGAGTTGGGGCTCTCCCAGCCCCGCCGGCCCCTCTCTCCTCGCTCTCCCCCCTCCCCAGCACCCGGCAGAAGGTGAATGATTTTACCCGAGCTGATTCATAATTAATATGCACGAGGCTCGGGGCTCCTCTGACAGCAGCAACACAAAAGGAGGGCGAGCGCGGCGAGCGCCGTTCCGTGTCCCCCCCGCGCATCCCGGCGCGTGGTACGGCCCAATAATTCCTAATAGCAGCAAGCAGCGAGTGACAGATGCCCTGGGTTAGCACAGCTCCAGCGAAAGTACTTTACAATATTTATTGGTGGTTAGGAAGATGACCTATCACCATAAAGAACAGACTGGGAAATTTATCGCCTCTATGAACCTGGAAGTATTGCATATTAGCTGATATACATATTCAAAAGACGGTGGTTAAAAGGTGTATAAATAGTTTAATTTTTTTTTCCCTCCCCTTAAAAGCAAAAAAAAAAAAAAAAAAAAAAAAAAAAAAAAAAAAAAAAAAAGTCACAATGTATTCCCAGCAGACAACACCTTCATCCCGGGGAAAGTGGTTCACATTTTACATTATGGATTTTGGGACGGGTAGAACAACATAAGGAAAAGTCTTAGGGAAAAAACGGTAACTAAAACAGTTAAGCGATTAATTCTAAGTGAGAAAAGTGCATGTTCTTGCATTATGCACCTTTTCCTCCCGGAAAGAGTCACACTTTGCAGGAGTTAGCATTGTCTTTCCGTGAAGATGTTTGTTTCCTGGGGATGCGGCCACCCCGCGAGGAGAAAGTCCTCGGCGAGCTGGAGGGAGGGAGGCTCTGGGGAGAGAGCCCGGCACGGTGCGGCAGGAAGGGCATTAGCACATCCCACCCCTGACCCTGCCAGACGGGAGCATTAGCACTTGCATCGCAACTTTTCGGGAACGGCGAGGGGAAACACAGCCAGGCTGCAGCCCCACGGGCTGGGGAGAGGAGAGGGGGAACGACGCTTTTCTCCCCAGCGCTTCTCCCTGCACCCTCCTGCCATCTCCAGCACCACCGAGACAATTAAGACTTTCCTGTCATCTTAATGAAGATTTCCAAAAAGATGCGAGAGCTCACAAATGGACAGAAACCCCAGGAGTCCTCAGAGAGCTGAGGCAGAGCCTGGCAGGGAAATGTGAATCCTGCTGAGGATGCACTCTCCTGTGGGAAACTCCAGCTCCAGAGCTGCAGGGGCCCCAGGCTCCTCGCCAGCTCACCCTCACCCCGGGCGGGTTAGGTGCAGGCAGGATGGGGGAAAACCTCTCAGACTGCCCAAAATCTAGCAAATTTGGCTTGGATGGCTGCTACCGGCAACTCCATGTCACTCACAGACCATTGCAGGGCACACGGCAGGAAGGAGGGATTCCATTTCCCATCTCATGAATTTTACTGAGGGGACGGTGGCAGAAATACTAATTTTAAACTGTTGAGGCCGCTTTGGAGGTTGTTAGGCTGCCCATTTCCACAACTTGCCAGCCTGGTGTGCTCCTAAACCATTAACATAAAGGAGATATTCAGCAGAGAGTACTCCTGAAAAGCTGTTTTCTATCTCCTTTGGACACACCACGAAGACAGGGATATTTTACATCCTAAACCTTTGGCATTCAGAAATTCTATTAAACTCTTATCTGCAGGCAGCAGGCCTGGTGCTACACTGCATCTCCATTGTTCTGCACCCGCGATAGAATCAAAGGGAGGGCTGGGTGGACTCGGCTCCCCTCCGCTCACAATGCTGCCTGCTCCTCTCCACCGCTGTTTCATTTAGAGCCCTAATGCTAAAACTTGAGAAACAAAAGCACAATAGATTCGGCTGGAAGGCAGCAGGGAAGTGTGTTTACTTGCGTGTGCTCCTCCGTAAATTGGAGCACACGCAGCCTGCATGGATATGAGCACACACATGTGCCTCTCCGAGCGTTAAGAGAGGGATTTTATTACTGCTGCTGTTGCATTTATTAACACGCGACGCACCTAGGAGCCCTAAGGCAGCTGACAGCTCTGATACCATCCGGCTCAGCTCTGGGCTGCGAGAGGGGGTTTGGCTTTTCTTTGTTCCCCAACTCGCCAGACTTCCCCTCTGCTCTCCTCCCAAAACGCCGCAAAGAAGCGGCGCCTTCCTCGGAGTTTCTCACTGCTACCAACTTCAGCAGCGGCAGGAATTCCCATCTCGCAGCCCCCAAATCTCTTCCTACCCCCAGAAAATCTCCGTCCCAGGCCAAAAGCCCCGCACTCCTTTCGCTGGAGGAGCGAGGCCACGCGTGGGCTGCGGGCGGCGGGTCAGCACCACGGACAGCTCCGGCCGCTCCCTCCGCCGCACTTTCGACCTTTTAAAGTATTTTTCAGCCATTATTTTTATAGTGTTTCTCCCCCCACACGCCCCCCTAAACCTCTCCAGAGTCACTCCACAGCAGTTTTTAGGGAGGAGATAATTATCGTGCGTTTCCAGGTCTCAAAGAGCCGTCGCTTCCCTAAAGGGAACCGTGCAGACGAGAGGTCTAAAATAAATGTTCACTTATTTTCATCTTCAGGGGGTTTAAGACGGGGTCTCCGAGAGTCCCTCCCTGCAGGGCGCCTGCACAGCTGAACCCAGAGAGGATTTTTAAAAGCAGATTCCCTTGATACCCCTCCCTTGCTCTCCGTGCCATTTCCCCCCCTCGTGTTTTCAGTTCAAGCTCTACAAGTTTGAAATTATTTAAAATAAAACTCCATTTACTTGTGTAAACACAGCCATAAACCCACTGCACTGTGTTCCATTGGCTTCTTTGAGTCTCTTTCAATGAAAATTTGATCTCAAACTTTACGCATTTGTAATTGGCACCAACTTCTCCGGTTACCAGCTGGGGGTGAACGATTTTTTTTTTTTTTCCTTGTTTCTTTCTGAAAGCTTCTATGCAGATGGGCTGGCTGCCTTAATGCCTCAGACTACAATTAGTGCTGTTGTATGCCGAATAGAAATGGCCAGCATTAATATTGTATATGGAACAGCTGAAGGGTTGCGAAGAAACCTGCCCACTACAGGCCCCTGGCAGATGGAACAACATGCACAGGCACAAAAAAAAACTTTTAATAACCCCTTGCTCTCTCTCCAGCGCGCCCCTTCCCTCCGATTTGGGCGGGTCCTTCCCGAAGAGGCAATGCCTTTGTCTAAGCCAAATCTAGAGCTCTTTTCTCCCTGAAGAACAACAATTGGAGCAATCACCATCTTTTGCAGAAGGCACCTCGCATTATCCCAAAACTTCCTGCTTTGTGCCTCGGTTAATGCAGGCGCTGAAACACACACCCAGCTGATCGGGCACGAACGAACTTTTTATTTAATAACGTCGCCCTCAGCCCTTTTTTACCCAGCAACGTGCAAGAGGGGTGGAAAAAGAGCCCACAAAGCCAAACCAAACCAACCACCACCACTCCCTTGCCCAGCAGAACTGCGACCAGAAGCTGCAAAAAACAGGATTTTCTCTTCGCTCCCCTCCCCATCTTTTGTAATTCGGTGAAACCCGCGGCAGAGGGGACAAAGCCCCTCCGGTGCCTCGGAGCAGCAGCAGCGGGGCCGCGCACCCCCCGCACCTGAAGCCCCTGGCAGCTGAGCCCGGAGCGCAGCGAGGAGGGGCGGGGGTGACACCGGCACCTCGCTCGCCAAACGCAAATGGGAGACCTGCACCCCGAAATATACCCGGGAACCTCTTCCTACCGCCTAACTAGGGGGAAACGCTATAAAACAAGGAGGGATAGTTTGCGGGTCCGTATTCCCCCGCCCCCAGCGAGCGAGCCCCTTTGCCAAGGCGTGACTTAGGCAGAATTGAGAAACTCAAGTGTTTTAGAGGAGAAACAAGGGAGACACCCGAAGGAATAACCTCCCTACGCTCCCGCCGCACCCCCCGCATCCGCCGGCGAACGGCTACGAACCGAGGAAAGTCCCGCAGAGCTTCATCCTTGCCGGGTGGCGGTGGCTGCCTGGCCCGGGGTGGCGGGGGGAGCGGGCGCGGAGCCGCCCGGGGTTACTCCATCATCCCTGGGAAAAGTTCCCGTCCGGAGCAAAAACTTATGGGCGGCAGCGGCCAATGGGGCCGCGCCGCAAAATCCTCGCAGCGCACTCGGCGGCCAATCCGCTCCCCCCCGGGCCGGGGATGCGCACCCCCCTCCCGGCCCCCCCTCCGGGCTGGCAGGGGGGGAGCAGGGCAGGGGAGCCGTCCTCCCCTGCGGGCGGGGGCTCCGAGCATCCCTCCTGCCGGGAGTTAGGGGAGAGAAGAGACAGCGGCACATCCCAGTGCAGGGGGGTGCTGGGGCACACACAGCCCCAGGAGAAGCGTCCCCAGAGAACCCAGCCAGGGAATGGTTTGGGTTGGAAGGGTCATTAAAGATAATCTCGTTCCAACTCCCTGCCATGAGCAGGGATGCCTTCCACTATCCCAGGTTACTCCAAGCCCTGTCCAGCCTGACCTTGAACATTTCCAGTGATGGGGCAGCCACAGCTTCTCTGGACAGCCTGTGCACACCTGAGCTGGCCCTGTGGACGGGGACAGGGGACACTGCCCTGAGGGCAATCCGCAGGCTGGTGGGGCTCTGGACAGCCAACAGGACAGTCACTCACATGCCCGAGTCAATTTGGAAATACACGAGTCTAATGATGGTCACATACAGCTTGTCAGATGCTTTGGCCGAGTCCAGGGTGTACTGGGGAAGGGAAAGGGGAGATTGGTTCTGGGAGAGATCCAGATTGGAAGAGGATGTCCCCCTGCCTCAAAGGACAGATGGCAACATTGGACTGAACTGATCCCAGCTGGAGGAAACTGGATACAGGCCAGCAAGCAATACTCTCATTGGCCTCCCAGATGGAAAAGCAGGGAAATAGTAACCAGGAAATAATAATAATAATAATAATAATAATAATAATAATAATAATAATAATAATAATAATAATAATAACAGTAGTACAACTAACCAGGGATAGCACTGAACTTTGATATCCCATTGGCTTGGAGGGCAGAGTGCTGTCTCTAGTTTGTGGACCTCCTGCTCCCAGCTCATCACCTGTGGCTAAAACAAAGCTGACTCTTTCCATGGATCAGCCCTGGCCTGAAGAGCAGGAAAAGTGTCATTTCTGAAAATGAGAGAGAGGAAGGGATTTCCTGGCAAAAATTGATTGTCAGTGTAAAAACTCAGAACCTTCAGCTGGATGGGTAAATAAGTGCATTTACAAAAGGAGAGCAAACCTGGCCCAGTCTCAGCTCCAGTAATTTGGGAAAGGGGGAAAGCCTGAGCTTAGAGGGATAGCTGGCACCAGTAATAAGGAAGATGGGACAAAACTGATATTAGCTGAAGAAAACTGAAAGCAATTCATCTCAGCAGGACACGTCTGCATATTTGGAATTTTTTTATTTTACCAACATAGTGGGAGAGGCAGTTGGAATAAAGGTTGACAAAGAAAGGTTGACAAAGTGTGCAGAAAAAGAGGACAAATCACTCTTTGAGGCAAGAGCCTGGGCCAAACTCTTTGTTGAATACATCTAACTCCTTAATTCAGATTTCTTTTCAGGCAGAGGGCTGGAAGAGAGAGCAGGGAGAGACAACTTTGCTGGGTTGGGGCAGGGAGGTGTGAATATCAAAGTGCACCTTTTCTTCTACACATCCATCATGGTCTCAGGGAGGTCTGAGAAAACAACAATCACAGAAATCATTATCATTGTCATTGGACTGAAAGCCGGAGTCTGAGTCAGATTAAAAATCTACCTGTTGGATAGGGGGACTTCTTTTGAGATTCTTATTCTTAAAAGGTCTGGATAATCCAGCTGGGCCCTGCATCCAGGCTGGATATGGTTTGGGAAAGGAGCTGGATCTGGGCCCCTTGTAAGGCTGCTTCTGACTGCACAGCTCTCCAGCAGAAAGGGGTGTGACACAGCCTGTTTGGGGACTGGCACCTCTTCCCTCTTTGAATTAGCAGCTCTGCCTTTGCAGAATATTCTGTGCTTTATTGTCCCTTCAATCCCCACCTTGGAAGATGAGAGGTGACATTGCGGAGAGCTCTGCGCTTGGAAAATGACTTTCAGAATTACGTTCTGGCAATTTGAAACTTCCGCTCTCTCATCTTCGGCCTCTTGGGGCTTTAATGGGAGAAAGCAAAGTGCCTCTTCCTCCTCCCCTCTTTTCTTTTCCTCCCCTGTTCTCTGGCAGCTGCAGCAGCCAGGATTCAGCAAGGTCACTCAACTCCATTGCTTCCTGCACGCAGGAGTTCTCAAATTAAGGGGTGTTGGGAGCAGCCTGTTGAGATGAAACAGCCTTCACTCAGCTCCAGCAAGCAAGGAAACAAAACCCCTTCACAGTGGCTCTAGACTGGCTCACCTTCCCTGAGCATTAGCTGGGGGAAAAGGTAAAGGCATGGAAGAGCAAAAAGCAAGATAAAAAAGAGTCCCTCCTTCAGCTGCAAAGCTGCTGTCTTTTGTCTAGCACAGAAAACCCCAAAATTTTATTAGAGGCCTCGTGGCTGCAGCTGCCTTGTCCACTCCTCGGCGTTTTCATCAGCATCTCTCCCTGGTTCTTTATTTCCCAAAATCGCTGCTGCTGCCTCCCCTTTCCCCAGTTCAGCAGTGAGGCAGAGTTGGCCCCATCCATCCCCCGGTCTTGGGGCACAGTGCAGAGATGGGAGCTCATCCCTGTGAGCTCTGAGCTTGCCAGCAGTGTGATCTTCTTCCCAGGTGCCACTGGTCTCAGTTCTGGGCAGCCATTAAGGGTAGCAGAAGAGAACGCAAATGGGAATGGAGAAGAATCACAGAAACTCCACTAATATCTGGGTGGTTCCCTGCTGAGGGGCCTGGGAAGCCATGTGGCTCACACAGAAAAAGACCAAAGGAAATACCATCCCTTTGTAGTCTGATTTCTGTTGATGCACTGCCAGACTTGGGGAGGGGGGGTTATTGTTCCATGTGTGCAGTTTTGCATCTGAAATAAATACAATCACCAAGATATTTCTCTATGTACCCCAGCACCATCTCACCAACAGCCTAAATATCTCCCCTGGCCAATGGCAGCCCCAGCTTTTCCACAAAGGAAGGGATAGCTCCAATTATCTGTTGACTGTTTTATTCTGTCTTAAATCCCTTTCATGGCTGCGTGAGGGAAAGCTGAAGCCGTATGCAGATATTGTCAAGCTCAACTTGATAGGTACTGTCAAAACTGCCAGAGTGTGGTGACAATAAACATTTTAGCTGGCTAACAATTTGCTGCAAAAAGGGTTGACCCTGAAATCAAGTTCTGCTGTAATGAACACTTTGTCTCTAAATATTTGCATTTTTGCTGACAAGGTTCACTCTCCAGGAGATTTCCTCCGCCCGTGAACAATCTGCCTTCACACGAGATGCAGGATGGATGCGGTTTCCTGAGCCAGTTCCTTATCTGGCGTGAAGGAAGGATGAGCACATGCCCAAAATCAGCAGAGCCACCGTGGATGGGGGATGCCCAGCCAGGGGAGTTGCTCAGTTCCAAGGTGCTGATCCCCCTCCCTGAGAAAGCCCTTTTCTGTCAGGTTCTGCACGGCAGTGCCACGCTGACAGCCCAGTGCTGGAACCAAGGCTTGTGCCTGTTTAACAGATGGGGAAATTGAGGCACATGGTGATTCTGGATCGGATTTGGACTGTCTTTGCTGAGCTGGAGACAGAGCAGACAAAAAAGAGGCAGCCAATGCAGACTGCCTGTTTTCCATGGCTGCCCCAGGAGGAGGAGGAGGAGGAGGAGGAGGAGGAGGAGGGGGAGGATGAAGCCATGCTGGAACTCATAGCTCCGGTTCAGTGCCCACCTGCTCCATTCCTTCAAACACATGGGAAGCTGGGGCTGTCCACCCTCATGAGCTGCTGCACTGAATCTTCCTCCATCCTCTTCAAGGTGATTTGACCAAAGTCACACAGTCTCAGGCAGAGCTGAGTGCCAAGAATCATCTTCCTTAGCCCCAGGGCCAAAAGCCAGGCTGGCTCCACGGTGTAAAAGACGAGGCTCAGAGTTCCCTTGCTGCAAAGGTTTATGTGTTTCAGGGTTAAATTTCCCAAGATAACTCTGTCTTGGCAGCCAAGAGCTGATCACCACCTTGAGGCCCATGTTTTTGTCTGCTCCCATTAATGATGGGCAAAGGACTCTGCCTAATTCCCCAGGGACAAAGTGTCCAGCCTGGATGGGGTGAGGATTTACCTGCTCAGGGCATCTCTGTGGGATAAATGTCCTCCAGGGCTTACCTGCCAGAGTCAAGAACATCCTGTGCTCTGGACCACCGCAGGGAAAAGCTGCAGAGTTAGATCCCACAATCTCCAAGACCCTGCATGTGGGAATGTCTGCTGACAGTGAACAAATGGGTCAGAGCATGGCCTCAAGTGTCCCATGTGACATTTGTCCCAAAGTCTAGCATGGGACAGAGAAATAGCCAGGGCAGGTTGCTGGTTTCTCGCTTAGGACTTCAGTATCCCAGCTCCACTGCCACAATTAACCCTTAATAGCGGGGGAAAAGTCCCCCACCAGACAGGTTTTCACACAGAGGGAGAGGTGAATTTCATTTCTACTCCTAGCACTGATTTTTGGAGGGGTGACTGTGGGAAAGGGTCTTCATCCATTTTCCCTCTGACACCTGGCTTGTCTATTTCAAACAAAATGTGCCCAGAGCACATCCTGCTTCTTACTACAGCTATTAGCTGTGCTCACCAGGCTGGGGCTGTGATTTGCTTGAGACCCCTAAATTCCTAGACAAGTGGCAAATAAATTGTAATAAAACTTCTCACTGTTGCTGGAAACTGTGGTGGGGAAAAGAATCCTTATGGGTTTGCAAAAAAGACATAAAGGGGAGGAAAGCACAGCTTATTTCATTTTTATCTCCCTTTCCTCTCCCTGCTGCAAGGAAAGGCAATTTTCACTAGCACAGTGTTGTCATTTTGCTGAAGAAAAATTCACAGTTTTGGCCAGAGAGGAGTATTTTCTTTTATTTTTATTTTTTTTTTTCACTCTG